GCAACACCACACACACACAGCACACACACACACACACACACACACACACACACACCACACACAACAATGCACCGGACACGACACCACAGACACACATTACACACACACACACACACACACTCACACACACTCACACACACACTCACAACACACAACACACACACACAGCACACACTCACACACACAACACACACACATATATATATATATATTATATATTATACTATATCATATATATTATACTGTTGAGAAAGAGTATTTTTAATTCAATCGGCTCTTATTTGTGAATTTATTAGTTGACTTAATGACTTATGTAAAGTCGATTTGGCCAAACGTCAATTCGCGGTCTGCTTTTTGAAACTATGATGGCTGATCTTTGCCTGTGCAATAGAAATCAGATTGAAACGTCCAATTTAGTTCATCTTCAAATCACTTCGTATGGATAGTCTTCTTGTTTAGCTATGGGCTGTGAGATAGTTGTCTCAATCAAACGAATTTTAAACCGTTCTTGTTCCACGCAGATGGCGTTTCCTGTGCATGTATATTATAAATTCTTCGATTTTGTTTTTTTCAATCACGTTCTTCTCTGCGGGCAATAGGCACGGGTACGCGTGACTCCGAGAGATTATTGTGAACGTATAGCAGCGTGTATGGAGGTTATCTGTTATCTTTATAATAAAATTGCCCGGGGGGTGTTGTTAAATAAAAAGAGTAGTTTGATCATTTCTCGCCCAGCAATCTACAGATAGTTTATATTCTAAATTACACGATAAAAAAAAACATTTATAGTTGGAAACGAAAGGCGGTACTAGGATAATAGCGACCACCTTGTCTTCACTCTCACGGCATGTGTGTCGTTACCCCCACACTATCGTTCACAAACCATTATACATACATATAAATACTTGGATACCAGGAAAGTTACAATTACATTGGGTTGTATCTGGCACGAGTATTCAATCTTTGCCGAAACTATTGCCAATGTACAAATACGCAAAACCGGTTTAGTCTGAAAATTGCCCAGGAGTAGATTTACAATATTTTAGTAATAGTTTGAAAAAATAGTCATTTTGCATACGGGGACCTATTACTTTCACCTTTTCTTTCCTTTAAAATATGATGCCTGTCACTTTAATTAGCTTCAATTATTCCTGATTATATGATCTCGAAACAGGCAGTACGTTAGTATCACGCAGATACTTGCTCTTATCTAAGCTCGAACAAGACAGGGATAAAACATATAGGGAGGTGAGTACATCTACGACACACGTCAACTCAAACGAATCCAGATAAGATATTCCACCGGATGCTCAACGCACTGTGAATAACAAAGAGAGTGTGCGTGTGTGCGTGGCGTGCGTGCGTATTATCGTCCGCCTGAAAGATATTTGCTACAATCGAAAATGTACACATAGTTAACATTTTATGAATCGTACAAACCAGATTTATCATTTTGCACGTGATATCAAATTTTGCCACTAAAAAGCCAAATTTTAAAACATTCCATCTCGTAAGGCAATTAATTTGCATGGCTTTTTATTTTATTACACTGGTAAATTGAACACCACGTAAATATATACATCCAACAGCGTTTAACAATAACTATACATTAACAAATTTCTGTTTGTCTAATAAAAGGGTTAACACAGGAAAGGAACTGAAATAAGAGAACATTTAATGAAGAACTGTGACGTGAAACATCTATCGTAATTAAGTAAAAATCGTTTAACCATTGATCACGATCTTTTAAAGTGCAAATGATGAGAACAATTAAAGATAGATTACATAACAATAACTATAGTTATGTTGTACATGTTACAGCATAGTATTAGTTTTGTAGCGTTATATGGTCAAATCAAATAGATAACAGCTGAAAAACTGCTATGAAAGCACGTGAAATTCAAGAAAATTTGGTGGGTGCATGTGGTGACGACAGAAATAGATATTATTGTTTTAGTAAGAGTACGAAATTCTTTTGCACCAAGGCAAGCAATTGCTATTACACACATATAATAGACCCCAACCAAATTTGTCAAGCAAAGAAACTGAAATTTTGAACTACAATATGATATGTACACCCTCATAGCTAGGTCTGACAACCCCACACTTGACGATATTGCCTGTGTCAATGCATGACTATATATAAACCAAGTGGTGTGCAATACCAGTAACCACTAATCCAGTAATCTTGTTATAAGAAAATCTACTATTACAATTGGGCCCAAGAACAACGTTGAGCATCACTTTATCATTTCATTCCACTAAATGTGCAATTGAGAGAAAAATGTAATTGGATATTAAATTATTATTCGTTATATTGGGAAAAGTGTGCTTTAAAAAACATCCTACACCAGCTAGGTAAAAAGTAAGACGTAACAAACATCTACCTAACAATCATTAGAAAGTCATTTTGCTTGCTTGCCATCATAATTTAACAGACATATATGTAGGAAATGAATAATGTTTACAAGACCTGTTATTATTAGAAGTACGGGGTTATTTACAAGTCTATCACGTAGAAAGCAATCGTATTCCTCATTAGTATAAAAATTTACACAGAAACGGGTGCATCATTGAATTATCTTAGTGCCAATTAAGTGTCACAGCGTCGGACTTGTGACAGAAATGAACAAATCTATGAGTGTTGGAACGTACATGATGCAGGAACATATGGTAGGCCTAGTCCTCTACCTAACATCCAATAGCATCAGATAGATAGATCCTAGAGACGAAACAGGTATTCAGTAACGATATGTACGTAGCCACTGTGCTGTTTAGTATAAATTATAATCCCGTGAAGAATGCAACCTAGTACATCATTCGGCCGGTTAAAGCCGTTTGAGGGTTACCTGGATCTAGATTTGGATGTTTTTGTCTGCTCTTGATCATACTCTCTCAACTAACTAGCTGTATTGTTATCACAGTTATGCTAGAGAATGTTGCTTGCTCATTAACCTCTAGAAAATCCCACGCATTTCTGGCCACCAGGGACCGTCTTCTAAGGTCACTACAGGACAAGCAAACATCGTTTGTATTGCTTATCAACCAAAGGCAGCCAATTATATTGCTTTGTGTGCATATGTGCCCAGCACGTTGTTGTTGCCATTGAAGTTTGTGTTGTTGCCATTGTTGTTTCTATAATTATAGTTAATGTTATTGTCGTTGTTGCGGGTGCTGTTGTTGTTCCTGATGTGGTTTTCATTGCAGAAGTAATAGTAGTAGTAGTAGTAGTAGTAGTAGTAGTCGTAGTAGTAGTAGATGTTGTTGGTGGTGGTGTCGTCATCGTCATCGTCATTGTCATCGCCATTGTCATCGTCGTCGTCATAGCAGTTGTTTCACTTGGGCACAGGGTAACTGCTAGCTGCGATGCATCCAGACATAGGGAACCCACTGCGGCTCCAGCTCTATGCGCTCCATCTCTCTCAGCGTCTCCGCGTAGGCACGGTTGATGTCCGAGTTGACGATCACCTTGTCAAAGTAGTGACCAAAGTTTTCCTCAATCTGGCGCCCTTCCTCGATGGTGAACCGCAGGTCATCATCCTGCAATAAACGTGAGATGTGTCAGTGAGACTGGAGAGAGAAGGCTATAGGTCGGCACTACCGGCTGTGGTTCCATTGGGTTAGCTTCTAGGGCTGAAGAGGTGTGCATACTGGAACAAGCTATAGGCACCTGGGTGGTTACTCAGGTTGTACGTGGCTCACCTGAGTTAGCTTCTAGATCTAAGGAGGTGTATATACTAGAACGAGGCAACTGGGTTGGCACTACGGGGTGTGATTCCTCCAGGTTAGCTTTAAGGGCTAAGGAGGTATGTATACTGGAACAAGACATCGGGGTGGATACGCAGGGTGTACGTGGTTCCATTGAATTAGTTTCCAGGGCTTAGGGGTCTACATACTGGAGCAAGTCACCTGGGTTGACATGACTGTGTGTGATTCCAAAAGTCTAGCTTCTAGTGTTTCAGCAAATATGGTTAATGCCATGTTATTGACTTGTTTCGACTTTTAGGAGTACACTCCTCAGTTTCCTCTAAGTTTTTTTGTGTCTCAACTGACGGCGTGTGATATACAGTGTATCAGTGCGATGTGAGAAATCGTTGTTGCAAATGTGCAGTATGGCTGAACAGTGCAATGTGCACAATCATGAGTAGAACTGCTATATGATAACGTGTAATTACTGCCATTTCTTGTCCCAAGAATTCGTGCAGTACCCATGTGTGCAGAATCATATCAGGAGTAAGGTAATAGAATTAATAATGTTATCGTCTTGCCTACCATCACATCGCATACTCAACAATAATGATCGAAGTTGGTCGGATATTTGCAACCTGCTGGAGATTACCTTTGTGCACATCCCCATTTTCTGACGAAGAATCTTGAGCTTTTCGATACAAGGTGGCGCTATGAATATGACATAGGGCTTCAGGTCTGATGCTTTCAGAAGCTTCAGTGCCTGTTGAAGATGTTAGACAAATATTAGAATATTTGGATAAACTATTGAAATTTCAACATAGTCAAGGTAGAAGTCTCACGCGACGTATAAAGTCTTCGTAGTTAGTGGGCATCGTACATTGTAGTCAAACGGCTGATGAAATTTGCTGCATTTAGATGGCACCACCTACCATTATCTGACTAACGGTAGTGCAGAGTCATAAGTGCAGTTAGTGTCTCTTAGTCAATGCCCCTTGACCCTTGATACATAACCACTGATGCCAAATAAGTAACCATCAATAATTGACAGCTAATATATGTAACCTTTGACCCCCTAATAAATGATCTTTGACCCCCTTAATAAATGACAATTGACTGACTCCCCTTAATATGTGACCTTTGACCTTCCTTAATAAGTTACCCACCTGAGGCATGAGGTTTAACACGCACGTCTTCACCTCCCTGACCAGCTGTCGGATGGACGATAGACTGGTGCCGTAATACTGTTTCTCATACTCGCCGTGCTCCACGAACCGGTGCAGCACTATGTCTGCCTCGAAGGCGTGCCGCGCTACAAAGTGGTAGTGCACGCCGTCCGTCTCGTCGTCGCGCCGTGACCGACTCGTGTCTAGCGAAAGGGAAAAGCATTCTAAAATTCCCGTACACGACGAGTTTGCACGCGCACGTTACGCAATTCGTGGAAATTATTCAGGTCCGATGCGATTTGGGCCAGCGTGTGCACGTGCGTACATCTGCCAGGATGAGCAAACTTCACGCATAGATACTACCCCAAGGGCTACCCCCTTGGGGTAGTATCTATGCTTCACGTAATAGGTTTGCACACTTTTTCAAAGGAGTGGTGTCCCGGATTCCACAGTGTTCGCATTTGCAACCTGTGGCATGCTGCACCACCTATACTGCTGGTGCGGGTTCCTGTTCGTTTTCGCGCAGGAAAAACACGAAGAAACGAATCTAATGGCACTGGCTGCTTAATTGCTGTAAAAGGGCATACCCTGGAAAATTAGATAGAATTATGTCAGGTGTTAATTTAGCCAGCCAATTTTCTGATTGGTGCAATTCAGGGCACACCTCCTGTGTATTGACATACGTTGCTCAGCATAGATAATGCTGATTATTTTTTGCTGGCATACAGAACCATACAGGCAGGTTGTAGTTTTATTGCAAATTATTAACCTTTAAATTTGGAAAGCGTGAGGAATCGAGGTCGAATAAAAAATAGTTTAAAGTTGGTGCTTACGAGGAACGGCAGCTGCAAACCTCTCCTTATTGCTTTCCAAGAGCCTTCGACGTAGCTCGTGCCTTCCGATGCTGTGAGGGCCTACCATCACAAGAGGGCGCCGGTGACTCGGCTTGGGGAAGAACAGTGCCACCCTCTCATAGTTGACCATCTCTTCTGCATCAAAGTCTGCAAAAGAACATGCAGGTGTTATCATACTCGTGCAAATATTGCGAAGAATTTGTCAACAATATTAAGTATATAGTAATTTGTTACTAATGGTTTGATGTAAAATATACTTTATATGTTATTATAAGGTTAAATGTAAGGTAAGGCACAGGTTGGATGTGAAATATATTTTATACGTTATTCTAAGTATAATAGTATATGTAATAATGTGTAACCTGGTCCACAATATGAGAAACTAAAGTAAAACTTTTCTATTTGGAGCAGGCATAGGTTATAATGTATACGAGAAGCATTTTTAAAGTTTGAATCTACAACCAGTTGCTATTAGAAGGTATCAATATTGTTATACATATTGATATAATGTAATAAAGAATAACATTTGTAGCTATAAGAATTTTGTCATGAAGAATTCTTGCTCTGCTGTCACTGGTGGCAGTCTGTTGCAGTACTGGCCTTACCTTCACTATAATGTGCATTATACAGCACTTTTTTCTTCTTCTTTGAGCCTCTTTTTGCACATAACATTGTGTCTGTAATAGAAAGCACTAGGAACTTAGTCATAACCCTTCCTCTCATATGCACCTATGTACCATAAGCTTTCCATTACAACCCCGAGCACCTAACATTATTAAACGTATGCATGACAAAGCTGAATGCTGATGATAGGGCTATCAACCTTTGTATCAACAATGTATCAACAGGGGCGTGGTCAGCAGGAGGGGGGGTGCCAGGGGGTCGCGGAACCCCAACCCCCTTGCCTCGCGCAGAAAAAACGCAATCTATAAGGGCTCTAATTCAAAAAGTTTTGGGGGAGGCCCCCAGACCCTCTCGCGGCTGCAAGTTTGTGTACGGTTAGACCTGCTCCACCCCTGGTAAATCCTGTACACGCCCCTGATCAACCAAAAAAACGTTATAGATGGTGTTTCAAATGAATGAACTACTCGAAGGTACTGCATTGTCTCGAGTTATATATATATATATATATATACATAAATATAAATAGTAAACAATTAAAACAAATAGGTAAAAAGCTAAAGGGTGTTTAAAATGTAAACACCCTTTACGTTATTTTTTAATTGGTTTTTATTTACATGGGCTGTTCGTGTGTCGATTTTTCTTGCTCCGCTCTTCTCTCTCTCTTTCTCTCGTCCTCTCTCTCTCTCTCTATATATATATATATATCAGTAGTCAATATATATATATACATATATACAAGATATATCCACATCAGTGTAGGAATTGTTGTAGAGATTACTCTGGGCAGCTATAATCTGTACTGCGTGTAGCAACTACGACTTCTTCCTGTCTAGCGCACTTCTTCCATCTCCAGTGTGGACGGCTTTCACTACGCTTTTCTTCTAAAACATGATAGATAGCAGGTGGAAAATTCGTCTAAACAACGGTCATATAGCTATTATCACGCGCACTCAAACGAGACTGGGTACGTTTTAAAATTCACAGTGGCTAGAGTACGTAACGCGCCGACACCACCCACTATCTAACCAACACATACTTAGGATATCAATAATGCTAACCCAAACCCAAGAGGATATAACCCAAGAGGATGTAACCCTATCCTCTTTGGGTTTGGGTACATTATTGTGAATCTAACCAAATACGTATGGCGATCGATGGGCGAATGCTATGGCTGCATGCGATGTGTGCCCACCTGGTAACACTCCTACTCTCATGATTATTATATCAGGGGTGAATATGAACAAATTGTTCTTACTTTACTACGAATATTGAACATTAGGCTGATCACGTGAGTCCTAATTAGCCAAGCCATTCACGCGGGGATCTTGTCATGTATTCGCTTCGTGCCGTAGCTGTACACAAGGTGATCGAATGGGTAATGATGGTAATAGAGATAAGGGGCCTTAGAGTAGGACGGGAAACCCTTCACTTCACGTATTGTAGCTATATACAGAGAATACGTAACACAGCGCTACCGGGAGCCAGAGAGGTCTGTCCGATTTGCCACGTAATACAGGCTATTACACTATAGCCGCGGGTATAACGCTGGGTCACAGATTAGGGTTGAGAAACTAGTACTAACCCTTACTGGTCACAGGATTACCTGATGATCCTAGAAAAAGTCTGCGGACGAGCCCTTGCTCACATACTTAGCAAGTACACAGGCTATACACAGGGTTACAGCTAGCGATTGTAGAATAGCACCTGAACCCTCATATACTGTACCTTTTATACAGTTACAGGTATGCACAGGTTTCAGCTATAAGCGATTGTAGAATAGCACTGAACCCTCAAATACTGTAGCCTTTATACAGGGTATACACAAGGGTACATCTAGGGATTGTAGAATAGTACTGAGCACTATAGCGTACTGTAGTTGAAGGCCCTTGCTGGGTATGAGGCCGGCTAGCGGCTGATCGTCCTCCCCTTCCCTGTATGCCTGCCACCAGTGCGGGTCGTCCTGACTGACAACGTGCAGGATGTCTCCCTTCTGGAAGGCTATTCCCAGCTCCGGGCACGGAATGTGCGGGTCCTCGTCCGGGCTGTAGCTGAAGTGAGTCTTCACGTGCACCTGAAATACGTGTTTGACGATCTGTATTATTTTATTAAATTTGCGTAACAAATACAGACACAAATGTTTGCGTGATGCGTGTTTGTATCCTGAAAACGCTCGTGTAAAATCTTATATCTATAGTAGATGGATTAGGGCGTAAAACGCGAGACGGAATTGACACGGTTACTCTAATATTTTATCTCTACATTCCACTCACCACCTCACGAATGTTACGATCGTGTGTGATGTTCCCTTACCATAGCATTTCTCAACCCTCGCTCCCTGGGTTTCTTGTTAGGGATGATGAGGAACATTAGTTGGCCAGACATCCTAGCCTGCAACACAAATCGCACGGTGATAGATCCGGAAACAAGACTGGCGATGTGTGTATATATTTTATATATATATATAATATATATATATATATATATATATATATATAATATTTTAACCGGCACCTGATCTGTTGTCATTTTATAATAGCTTGGTGAGGAAGATAAATTTCGCGAAAGCTTACTGATTAAAATTTAACACCCTCTAACACTTTATAATTGTATATATATATATATATATATATAATATATATAATATATATATATATATGACAATCTACATGATTATTCTTAAGATGGATGTGCAAAACACTAGAATGTTAGGTGAGAGGAGGAAAGTATATCTCTGCCATTATTATCACACGACAGCAATCGATAGACTTCCATCTGAGGAGATATCACCATCTGATCTCCAGCAGGTTCATTCACCGTGTGGATCACCCCTGATTCATCGCAATTTACAGACATTTAAGTTAAAAAATTAAACAATTAAAAATATTCAGTGCGAGGTTGGCATCAACGCAAAGGTAAGTGTAGGCATTATTAAAAAAACCAATGTGCATGTATTAGATAACGCAGCTATGCGATGGGAGAGCTGGGATGAGAACAATACGGCGAATTTGATACACGGTTTGGAACTGCCTCAAAACTGCGGCTTTTACGTGTACAACAATTCAAGCATTTCAGACGCATTATGAGTAACCATCACTTGATCGGCCTGTGAGATTCAGTTTCCTTTTTAATATGTTGATAGAGAGAAAGAAACGAGAGAGT